TCTCTCTCTCTCTCTCTCTCTCTCTCTCTTTCTCTCTCTCTCTCTTTCTCTCTCTCGCTCTGGCGGAAACCCATTTCTCCTAAATCCATTTCTCATAAACCCATTTCTCATAAATCCATTTCTCCTAAACCCGTTTCTCATAAATTCCATTTCTCATAAATTCCATTTCTCCTAAACCCATTTCTCATAAATTCCATGTCTCATAAATTCCATTTCTCCTTAATTCCATTTCTCATAAATTCCATTTCTCATAAATTGCATTTCTCATAAATTCTATTTCTCATAAATTCCCTTTCACATAAATGTGACATAAGTTTCAAAACTTTCACATAATAAACATAAACTTTCACATAATTTATGCTGTCACATTTCCCGGAGGAACTCGATCGTCCCACGATTTCGAGTCTGCACAAGGTCGGGGCTGAGGAAGCGGAAGGCGATGTTCGGAGAGTTGCCGATCACCACGTCGCTCATTGGATTGATGATTCCACCGGAATTCGCTGAGTACCAGAACGGTAGCGGCAAATTTGGCAATTTCGCTTGACTTCAATATAGGGACATACTATCGTGGTCATTTTGGTGAACGTTCGATTTTAACGGTGAACGAAGTAAAATTTTGTAAAAAAAACAATGCTAGGAGAATTTATGAGAAATGGATTTATGAGAAATGGAATTTATGAGAAATGGGTTTATGAGAAATGGAATTTATGAGAAATGGGTTTATGAGAAATGGAATTTATGAGAAACGGGTTTATGAGAAATGGGTTTAGGAGAATTGGAATTTATGAGAAACGGGTTTATGAGAAATGGGTTTATGAGAAATGGATTTATGAGAAATGGGGTGGAATCTCTCGCTCTCTCATGCTCTTTTTTCAGTAGCCGCCTGCGATTTTGCCTTCATCACCCTCCTCGGCCCAACCTTGGCCAATGCTTCATACTGGGGCTTCTACGCATCGAGAGTGATCTTGGGACTTGGAGACGTACGTAATTTATCTATACACTTTTCATACAAAGATCTAGGGCTTCCTGATCCCCTGCATCAATTCGGTCATCTCCAGATGGTTCCCGCAAAGCGAGAGATCGATGGCCGGAGCGATATACACGCTTGGGAATCAGGTAAATTCAGAAAAGCATATTACTTTGCATATAGAAAATCCAGAGTAATTTTGCTGCCTTTAGATGTCCGCCGGACTTACCTCCATCATAGCTGCCTGGCTTTGCACATCATTTCTCGGGTGGCCGTCGATTTTCTACATCCTTGGTGAGCCTTGGAGCCTCTAATTTTTCTGGACTAAAAACTCCAGGCTCTAAACTACAAAATACATGGTTATCTTAGGCGTTCTTGGCCTCTGCTGGGCCGTCGTTTGGCTCATTTTCTCGACCAACCGCCCGGCTGAATGCCGTTGGGTTTCTGAAGACGAACAACTCTTCCTCGCCAAAAATCTCGGAAAGCAGAAGCGACCCCTACCTCTGGTCAGTCAGTTCCTGGCCCCTTTAAAAGCCTCTCCTACCATCAGCAAGACGCCCCGTGGCGCCAGCTGCTCCTTGGAAAACGACATTGTCCATCTACGGCGTCCAGTTCGCGTTCAACTTCACGATCTCCCTGCTCCAGTCATTTTTGCCGACATTTCTCAAGGAACACTTGATGTTGCCAATCCATATGGTAAAGCTCACAAACCGTGAAGTCAAAGCTTTTTTTTCAGAACGGCATCTACAACATGATCCCCTTCATGTCGCAGATGATCGCCAAGCTGTTCGTGGTCTCGCTGGCGAATTGGTTGAAGGCGCGCGAGATAACGGGGGCCGATGCGTCGGTGAAAATCTTTCAGGGGCTAGGTGGGCGTAGTGTAACGTAATTGACGAGTTCTTAAGGATCTCTCGGTTGTGGGGTAACGATTTTCCTGCTGGCCGTCGTGCCAAGTTGCGAGCATCCGACGTGGGCCATCCCGATTTTGATATGTCACGGTGGGGGTGTTATCTGGATCTCTCGCTCTCTCATTCCCTCAGTCTCTCTGTCTCTCTCGTTCTCTCTCTCGCTCGCCGTCTATCTCTCTACATAGGCATCTCCTTCTCCTGCTCGATCCCCGGCTTCTTCACGGCCTTGGTGTCCATCGCCCCTCCCTACACCGGCACGATGACGTCACTTGGCCGTACCTGCGCTACTCTAGGAAACATCTCCGGCGCCATGATGATGTCGTTGATAGATAAAATGGTTAGACTTCGAGTTTCTTACGCTCTTGTTCTGTCTCTCTCTCTCTCTCTCTCTCTCTCTCTCTCTCCCTCTTGCTCTCTCCTTCTCTCACGCCGAATCTTTCGCTTATCTCTCGCTTCCAATACTCCAATGTCTAGAACTGGCCCAACAAGTGGTTGATCATCTTTTCTTTCGGCGCCGTCTGCCACCTGTTAACGGGCCTCAACTTTGTTTTTCATGGCAAAGGTGATCCTCATTTTCTAAAAAAAAAAACGTGTTTTAGCTACGGTCCAAGTCTGGGGCGATCCAAGTACGATCAGGTCCAAAAGAGCCCCATAAACGCCACCAAACTCTGAGGCCGCCGCCAGCTGATTAAAAAACGTTTTATTTTGCTCTTAAATTGCTTTTATGAATGGAGCATATTATCATGGTGCTGATGAATAAAGAATTCAATCCAAATTGGTAAATGCCGCTGAAAAAGTTGCTTGTTGATTTTTATCGCCGCACCAGGGTTGAAAAACCGCTTCGCGGCTTTTCAACCCTGGCCCCGTCCAGGACCTGTGAAAGTCCTTAATTTGCATGTTTCTTCCTGAATTCTAGCAAAAAAAGTGAAAAACGGCTCCTTTGTCCCTTTATATAGGCTCCTCCTACTTCCGGCGTATGCTAATTTTCCCTAACAAACAGGGTCTTACAAAAACCTATTTTTAATAGCGAAAACCACAATTTTTCAAAATTTTTATGTGTGTGCAGTCGATTCCGGACCATTCTAAACCTATTGTCGTTTCTTCCCTATCCAAAAAACCCTTCCCCGAGGCTGTAGGAGCGGAACATCCTAACGGAAGTGCATGCAAATATACACACACACACACAGACACTATTTTTTATATATATAGTAGGATTTAAAGGGATAAGGAAGGCCAGTAGATCAGGGCTCATCTATAATTGGCAACGAGTCAACCGGAAATGCTAGTGCAATATGGGTAGAAGGTGGGCGCAGGCGAGAGGGAGCAGGGAGGTTTTAAGCCAATTTTCCAGTGAAAACCGGCTTTCTGCCTAATTTTTCTGGGCCTGCCTGATCCCTTTCATTGATAAAAATTCTGAGCTTGCATAATGAAGAGACAGAGATCGCTAAATTCTGATCAAACCGTCAGAGGCCAAATTTTTGCAGGCAGGGACATGAGACACCAAAAAACTACACAATGTCTGGCGTACGTCGAAAATTCCACATGTCACATAGCGTAGTCAAAACAAAAAAAACCAACCAGCGTCTGGAATTATTACTAGCAATTTAACTATTTTTAAATTTGCATCCTTACTTTCAATTCGGGAATTTGCATATTTCTCACTTAACCTTAATTTTGCATCCACCACTTGTTTCTCGATCTCATTCTTAACGTCGTCCTCCCCACCATGGCCGACCCTCCGGATGACCCGTCCTCCGCAGCACCTCGATCGAAGCAGGATTCTGGCAGCGTCTCCACGGCAGTCTCCCCCACGTCATCCGGACCACCTTCCCCGCCCTCTTCAGAAGACAAGGCCCCTCACGTCGGTTTCTTCTCGATCCACTCGCATCGCCTTCGAATATGCCTACTGCTGATGCTCGGCCTGTACGTGATGGCGTCGATGAGGATCGGGTTGGGGATGGCGGTGACTTGCATGGTACGTGCCGGACTTGAATGGTACCTACTTCCGGTTTAGGTAAACGGTACCGCCTTCGCAACACCCCCTTCGAACAACACCATCTTGGGCCGGCCGAGCCAGAGTCCGTCCTGTGAGGCGAAAGACCCATCAAATGATGCTGGATATGGGGTACGGAACAAGATTTTTTCTGATTTGCTGAATCTTATATAGGGTGACTTATTGTGGAGCCCGGCCGAGCAGAGTCTGCTTTTCTCGGCCGCTTTCTATGGTGCACTCATCACTACCGTACCCTCGGGATACTTGGCTGATCGGTTTGGGCCGAAGTTGTTGCTTTTTCGTAGGTTTTTGCTCGGTGAAATTGTTGCTATTGGGTCGCACGCGAGGTGACCCGCAACGCGACACGCAACGCGGCAAGTAGTGCGACACGCGACGCACAAGCGACGCGAGAAGCGACGGGCAAAGCAACGCGATACGCCACACACCACTGGGCCGCCGCCTAGGCACCGTAATCAATTACGCCAAACAAACAGGAATGCGCGCGTTGCGTGTCGCGGCCGTCGGCGTAGCAAGATCCATAGATCCATAACCAAAAAACGTTAGTTTTGGCTGATCGGTCCCTTTAACTCATTTTAGTCACCGCCTGCACCCTCACCATCACAACGGTGATCGGTCCCCTCCTGGCAAACCTTTCCTATTGGTCCTTTTTCAGCTCACGTGTCGTTTTGGGACTTGGTGACGTAAGCTATCTCACTGCTACCTTTGATTTCCCACCACCAGGGCTTCATCATCCCGTGCATCAACACCGTCATCACACGTTGGTTTCCCAGCAAAGAACGATCCACTGCGGCTGCGATTTACACGCTCGGGAATCAGGTTTGAATTTGGACATCCTGAGGTATCTACGCTTGGCTACGGTTTACTTTACCCCCCGCCCCAGCCGGAAGTTTTTGGCTATAACTTTTTTATTTTACATTATTGTAGGCTCAAATTAAAACTCTTGGTATATTTTTCGACGCTCTATCGAATGGCGTTGCAAAAATCCCGACAAAATAAGCGAAAATACCGACAAATTTGGGACCCTTCGGCTGGGGGGGTAAAGTAAAGTCTTACCTCTACGCGTTCCTAGTTGACCTCTGGCCTGACAGCAATCATCGCCGCGTGGCTTTGCACCTCGATTTTTGAATGGCCGTCGATATTCTACTTGTCTGGTGGGTAGAAGACGCCATTCTAAGCTACCGTGTGTCGTCAAAGCACCTGGTTTACTATAGGTTTCACCGGAATCGCTTGGGCCGTCGTGTGGATGATTTTCTCGACCGATCGGCCGGCGGATTGTCGCTGGGTTTCTGAGGATGAGAAGCTGTACTTGGCAGATAGTATGGGCAGGCCGAAGAAGCCGTTTCCGTTGGTGGGCATTTGGCTTCGGCGGCTTAGGTCAGTGTTGGCTTAGGTTTAGCTTAGGCTTGGCTTAGGCTTCGGCTTCGGCTTAGTCTTCGTCTAGACTTTACTTACGCTGGAATTAAGCTTAATTTAGGCTTAGGGTGGCTTAGTCTTTGGCGCGGGAGGAAATTATAGGTTTTATGAAAGTTTTCCAGAGAGACACACCCTGGAAAAAACTCCTTCTGAGCAAAACCACCATCGCCGTCTACGGCATCCAGTTCGCGACTAACTTCACGATGTCCATCCTCCAGTCCTTCCTCCCCACCTACTTCAAGGAGCACCTCATGCTCCCCATTCACATGGTAACCTTGAATTTCAGTTCCTTTGACAGGCTATGTCTTTCGAACGGCGTCTACAACATGATCCCGTACATGGTGCAAATGTTCGGGAAACTGGCCATCGTCTGGTTGGCCAACGTGCTGAAGTCGCACAACATAACGACGGCCGACTCGTCGGTGAAGATCTTTCAGGGGATGAGTAAGTTTTGCCGCATTAGCGAAAATGTGATATTTTAGGCTCAATCGGATGTGGGGTTACGATCTTCCTCCTTGCCGTCCTGCCAGATTGTGAACATCCAGAGTGGTCGATTCCAATTTTAATCGTACACGGTATGAAATCCAGAAGCTCACGATTAGCTTCTAGGCCTCGCCTTCTCCTGCATCATCCCCGGCTTCTTCACGTCGCTGCTGCTCATCGCCCCGCCGTACACCGGTACGATGACGTCGGTCGGCCGCAGCTTTTCGATGGTCGCCAACATTTCCGGGGCCATGCTGATGTCGTTGATTGATAAAATGGTAGCCTAAGGCTTGTATAACTCACCGGAAAATTAGGGCTGGAAGAACAAGTGGCTGATCATCTTCTCGCTCGACGCCTTCTCCCAGCTCACCAGCGGCGTGTTTTTCATCTTTTATGGGAAAGGTCAGACTTTGGTTACCAGCTTGGGTTTGGATTGAAGCTTAGGGGTAGGCTAGGCTTAGGCCTGGGTTGGCTTGGCTTAGGCTTAGGCTTTGGCTTGTCTTCGGCTTGCCTTAGGCTTTGCTACATTAGCTTAGCTTTAGTTTTTTAGCAAATACAAACAATTTCAGCTACCATACAAGAATGGGCAATCCCCGCCACAACCACCATCCCAACCCTCAACACCCCAGCCACCTCCGAGGCGGCCATCGACTTGAATTAACTGCCAATTAATCCGTATCATTGATCGTGTGCGATTTTGTTAGATAATGAATGAAGTAAACGCCGTGGTGGCTTCGGAATCAACACGTTTATATGTGACATTTCGAGTAAATATTTTGAAAATTTCGTGCATGTTTGGCATGGAATCGAATGTCGTGGCGAAAAAGCTATTTCTGTTCAGCGGTTAATTTCACCTGCTAAAACTCTCATAGAAAACATTTTTTGGGGTATATGTGTAGTTCCATCTATTCTATTTTCCGGCAATATTACGATTTTTTTTTGGTTTCTGCTGCTTTCCAAACTCCGCAAATCAAAAATGTTTCCTATGTATGCAGGCACAGAAAAAATTGCACTTTAAAGAGCGCCCGACGCAAATCGTTGCATCACATATCAACGCACCGTGGCGTGAGTCGCCCCTCCGAACAACACGAAAACCCGGTGCGGCTTATGCAAAATAGACCCGAGCCGCCGCCCGCCCAGACATATTATGTAACAGACGTTAAAGGCTCACCGCGCGGAAGAATATTCCAAATTTTTAGTGTACATTTAGTCTAAAATTTGTTACTTGTAAGCTGTTCTACATATCTATAGAACTCTATTAATCGATCAGAACCATGGAAAAATCGCCGTTATTCTCGCTGAAATCTCATCGGCTACGGATTTGCCTCCTTCTAATGGCCGGCCTTTACGTGACGGTATCGATGAGGTTAAATTTGAGCATGGGCGTTACTTGTATGGTGAGTTGATGCTAACTTTACGCAAAAATATCACCTCTTTCCGGTTAATTCGACTGCCTATACGAATAATGTCCGCTCTTCGAATACCTCGTATCAAGAAGCGCAAGAAAACTGCTTGCTTGACTTTGATGAAGATCCCTCAACAAACGATGGTGGATACGGGGCAGCCTTTGCAATTTGCCTTATGTAATTTTTAACCGACTTAAGGGCACCTTACTTTGGACCCCGTCGATGCAAGCCCTGCTCTTCTCGGCAACGTTTTATGGTGGTCTCGTGACGATAGCGATTTCGGGATATTTTGCGGATAAATTTGGCCCAAAAGCAATTCTATTAGGTTCGTTCAAACAAAAATGCGATAAAATTTGCGTGCTTAGTTGCAACTATTGATTTTTCCATATTCACCCTACTCGCGCCGATGCTGGCCGAAAATTCCTACTGGGCATATTTCGGGTCGAGGCTGTTAATGGGATTGGGAGAGGCTGGTTTTTAAAGTTTTTGCTTACTTTTAATCCCATTTTGCTAAGGGTCTTTCCTTTCTTAGGAGAAGCCTGTGAAAAGCCAACTGTGTCTTTTTTCATTCAATCTTTTTAATGCAAAGTCACAACCTTAACTTCAAGCGCACGTTCAGGGAGGGGTCGTATACTCTGCCCAACGTATACATCCTATGGACGTGGGGACCGCGCGCACTAACTGCCCCTGCCGTGGCAGGCGATTCCCCCCTCCTTTCCGGGGTGAGGCGCCCCTCGGCCCCCCTCGCTAAATTTTTTATTTATTTATTCTGCGCACAAGGCGCCGTTGCACACGCAACGAGGTAAAAAAAGATCACAGTATGAGAAAAAAAATCACAGAAAGGGGGGAGGAACCATTGAAAAAGAAAGGTGGAGGATGGGGGGTTTGTGACGACAAAGTGGACGATCCTTGGGCTGTTCTCCTGTCAGCATGGTGGTACTACCCCGTAGGGCATCCCGCTAGTGAGATCACTTTTTGCTTACTGGGAAGTCGAGCGTTGAGGATTTAGTTCGAGGAGAGGTCACATTGATAGGGTATAGGCGGGGGTAGGTATTTAGGGGAACATACAGAAAGGAAATTGATAAACAAATATTGCCATTGGTGTAGGTGGTGACGGGCTGACGGACAGGGAAGGCCGCGGTGAAGCCGTTGCTTGAAAGGGTGTTGGTATGGATCAGTCGAGGATGCGGCTGTGCGTAGAGTTCATTCTAAAGCAAGAGGCCGGCAGGGCGGCGCTAGATTAGAGGTGAACCAAGAGGAGATGATAATATGGCTGGACGTGAACTAGTTCTTGGGATCAATTTTAAGAATTTGAAGTAGGTCAAGCTTGCGTAAACTCTGCCGGAAAGAATGGGGGCTACGCTGTGCCAGGATGCGAGGAGGGAGCAGGTTGAACCACCGGGTGATGCGGGAAGAGAAAGCGTATCTGCGGGACTCAGTTCTAGCTTTGGGAACTTGGAAGAGCAGCCTCTTGTTTCTACCAAAACCCAATTTATAGGTAAAAATAGAGGACCGGGGGACGTGGCAGAGGCCATGGAGGATTTTGAAGCCCTGGGCGAGGTCGCTAGTTATGCGTCTGTGATGGAGGGTATGAAGTTTCAGGTACTTACATCTAACAGGATATGGTTGGGGCGGGAGGTTACAGCGCTGGAACACTATTCGTGTAAAGGTCTTCTGAATTTTTTCCAATTTGTCACACCAGACCTTAGTCCGCGGTGACCAAATAGGCGAGGCGAACTCGACAATTGGCAGGACATAGGTCTTAAAACACTTGACGAGCAATGTGGGATCACGGATTTTTAAATTTCTGAGAAGGGAAAACATAGCACGGGACGCCTTAAGGTAACGCTGTTCAAGGGTCGGGTTGTTGAGAAGTCTATCAGTTACGATGATGCCAAGATCTCTAATTTGCGGAACACTGGAAAGCTGGTGGCCATCCAATAGGTAAGCGTTTTTGGGATTAGAAACTCCAAGATACAATAAATGGCATTTCTCAATCGAGAAAGATAGACCACTAGACCCAAGCCCATGAATAGAAACTATCTATGGCTCTTTGAAAAGTTTCGTGCGCGTGCGATTGCTCGCCCCTGTTATAAGTAATGTACAATTTAACGTCATCAGCAAACATTTTGATCGAAACGCGGGGATGATGGGCGAGGGCAGATGGGAGCGCTGCTGTGAAAATAGAGAAGAGAAGGGGGCCTAGAACGGAACCTTGCGGAACGCCGCTATTGACGGGAGAGGCGGAGCTAAATGTATCGTTTATCCGGACTTTAAAAGTACGACCACGCAGGTAATCACGCAACCAATTTAGGAGTGGTCCAGAGATACCACAATCAAAACACCGTGAAAGGAGCAAGGAAGAGTCAACAGTATCGAACGCCCTAGAAAAATCAAAATAGGCAATGTCCACTGAATTTTTTGCCTCGAGGGCCGCGCCCAAATCTTCATGGCTAACCAAGAGCTGATCAACAACCGAGGCACGACTCCTGAAGCCAAACTGTTGCTCGGGCAGCAAGTTAAAACGCTCCAAATAAGGAGACAGACGGTTTTTTACCAGTCTTTCCATGATTTTCAACGGGGTGGGAAGGATGGAAATAGGTCGATAAGATGCCGGGTCACTAGGGCACTTGGAAGGTTTAAGGATTGGGGTGATAAGGGATAGTTTCCAAGGACCGGGCAATTTTCCTAGGTGGAGCGAGAAGTTATAAATGTGGGCCAGTGGTAATGAAAAGGCGCGGGCACATTTTTTGTAAATGATTGGCGGAATTCCGTCAGAAGGCAAAGAGTAACTGACTTTGGATCGATTGAGTTCGTGCATAATTTCCCCCGGTAGAAATAGAAAGTTACCGATACGACCATGTGTGCGTTGGGAAAGTGAGGGGATAGGCAAAAACGGGCTAGGGTTGGTATCAACGCTGCGGTGGGCTTGAAGGAACGTGTTGGCAAGGAGCTCGCTTTTGTCTTTATCTAGTACGAGTGGCAAAACAGCGCCGGGCTTGCGTAATGGTGTAGTAAACCGTGGGGAAGGTTTACGAAAACTCTTTAGAAAGCCGAAAAGTTGCTTGCCGAATTTGAAATTAAATAGTTTACGTTGTCTGTATTCTTCCCAGCGTCGGATCTTAAATGAAATACGTTCACATAGTTTTAGGTAACTTTTACGTAAGCCGGGAGAGGTGTCTAATCTTCGAAATAGATTGTCCTTAAGGCTAATGAGGTTACGAATATGGCTAGGGAACAGTTGTTTGTCAGGAGCAGAGGACAGGGCAATGGGGGTGAAAAGTGAAATGCCGGTTCGTACTATGCTAAGAAAGTGATCGTAGATTTCGTCCAAATTAGCGTGATCCGAAAGTTCGGAATCCCAGTCAAAACTTTCAATGAAGTTACCAAGGGCGGAAAAATCGGTTTTAGCGTATGCGTAACGAGGTTGGGAGCTGGGCGGTGGGGGCAGGGTGGAGGCATGAAGTACGAAATGGAGCGCCAGATGGTCAGAGGGCAGGAAGGCGGGTGATACCGAAGCCTGTGAACAGAAGGTGTTGTCTTGCGTCAACACCCAGTCGATAATACGAGTACCTTTTCTATTGGTGGGCTTGGAAACTAATTGGGAAAGGGAAGCGGCTGGGAGCAGGGCGTGTGCAGGGCATGTAGGAGAGCAGCCGCTAGGCAAAAAATTAACGTTCATATCGCCGACGGCGATCGAAGGGCCGGGGTGTGCAAAAGTATCTAAGAGATCAGCAAAGAAAACATCGTCGCTCTTTTTCTTACTATTCGGAGGCCTATAAAATACCGAGAATTTGTGGGTGGCGTTATTTAGGAAGATATCAGCGGTAATAATCTCAGCGGTACTAGATGCGGTGACCTGAACTATTGGTAGAGAGTCGCGGTAAAGGATGGCTACGCCTCCGCCACGCGAATGACGATCGCGACGGACGATTTTATAAGGAAGGTCAGAAACTAGGTCGAGATCGGTGAATTTTTCAGATAACCAGGTTTCTGCAAGTCCAACGATATCAGGCTTAACGAGAATCAAAAAAGCGCGGAGATCTAGGATTTTGGTGCAGAGACTTCGAGCGTTTAAGTAGTAGCAATGGAGACCGGGTGGGGAAGAGCTAATAGGCTGCTTTGGCAACGGCGCGCTGTCCTAGTGGTTAAGTGGGGCGACGGGGTTGTCGGGCGCACGCGCGGCGGCCTTTTGTGGCGGGGATAGGCCAGAGCTGGCGGGGGCAAGGTAGCGTTTCAGGGCAGAAACCGAGGAGTGGTGATTGGGAAGAGAAGTGGAAGAAAAATTGTTAAACACGACCTGCTCCTTGTGCTTTCCTTGATTTTGTTTGAACTGATTGACGTTGTCCTTGAGCATAACTGTTCCGGCGTAAACCACATGCTGCTTCCCGGTCTCGGTGGTCAAAGTTTGGGCCTGTTCACGCTTGACTGCGGCTTCCTTGCGCTGTTCAAGGGTGAGGGAGGGGCGGACGCGGATGTTTCTGTAAAGATCGCTTCGGCGGCCATGAGAAGAGAAAACACGTATAAAACTGGAAGCAGAGGTGGAGGACGTGAAAAACGCTTTGAGTAGACGCGGACGGGCACCCGTTGGATCACGTTTACCGAGCCTCTCCGTGGCGTAGATAGTGGATGTGAGACCCATGTTATCAGAGAGATCTCTGACATAGTTTAGGTCATCAGAGTTGCGAGCGGATGGAGTGCCGAGTTCGGATTCACGAACACCGACCAGGACAGCGATCCTGGCCCGCTCCTTCTCCTCCACAACCGCCACGGCGGCATTGTTGGCCTCACGAATTAGACTCTCGGAAAGAAAGGAGGTGATTACTCCCAACGATGCGAGAGCTTCGGCCTTCAGTTCGGGGGAATTGGGTGAGGAATCTATGAACGTTTTGAGGAAATTGAGGGCAACGTTGAGCGCGGGGTCTTGTTGTTCAGCGGGATCAAACATGTCCGAGTCGACCATGTTGAGATGGTCGACCATGTTGAGATGAGTCGACCATGTTGAGATGAGTCGACCATGTTGAGATGGTCGACCATGTTGAGATGAGTCGACCATGTTGAGATGAGTCGACCATGTTGAGATGAGTCGACCATGTTGAGATGAGTCGACCATGTTGAGATGAGTCGACCATGTTGAGATGAGTCGACCATGTTGAGATGAGTCGACCATGTTGAGATGAGTCGACCATGTTGAGATGAGTCGACCATGTTGAGATGAGTCGACCATGTTGAGATGCGTTGTCCATGTTTTTGCTTACTTTTAATCCCATTTTGCTAAGGGTCTTTCCTTTCTTAGGAGAAGCCTGTGAAAAGCCAACTGTGTCTTTTTTCATTCAATCTTTTTAATGCAAAGTCACAACCTTAACTTCAAGCGCACGTTCAGGGAGGGGTCGTATACTCTGCCCAACGTATACATCCTATGGACGTGGGGACCGCGCGCACTAACTGCCCCTGCCGTGGCAGGCGATTCCCCCCTCCTTTCCGGGGTGAGGCGCCCCTCGGCCCCTCGCTAAATCTTTTCTTTGTTGCCCAAAAACGTCCCCGAACGTGCCCTTTAAGTTATGACGTTTTTAGGGCTTCGTCTTTCCATGCCTGAACTCCATGGCCGCCAAATGGTTCCCTCCTAGTGAAAAGTCGACGGTTGGAGCGCTTTATACAAGTGGGAATCAAGTTAGTGATACCTTCATGAAACTATAAAATATGATAAAATTAATAAAGCACATTCAGTAAATCGGTACAAAAACCTTTTGTCTAGCTGGCCGCCGGGTTGACCTCTTTCATCGCCGCTAGCCTGTGTTCATCTCCATTAGGGTGGCCTTCGATTTTCTACATATTCGGTACGATCTCATTCATTTTCAGTCCGCCAAATATCATTCGATAACTCACCTTAAACCCCCAATTAAATTCAGGCGGACTCGGGCTGATCTGGGCGCTAGCATGGCAAATCTTTGCTACAAATTTTCCAAGTGAAAATAAGTGGACGTCAGCCGAGGAATTAATGTACATCGAGAAGAATCTAGCGGCCAAGCATCACTCTCAAATTTTTGTCAGTATTTTTACAAATTAAAAATTAAACGCGTTTTAGAAAGACAACAAAGTCCCGTGGAAGCAGCTGCTAATTAGCCGACCATCCTTGGCGATCTATACAAGCCAGTTCAGCTACAATTTTTCGGCAGCAATTATGCAAGCATTTTTGCCGACCTATTTCAAAGAAGTGCTGTATATTCCGATTCATATGGTAAGTATTGTAAGGGTATTACCGTTTCACTTGGATTTTCGACGGTTTTAAAGGTTTATTTGTATCGTTAAAGCTAGGTAATATTTTTAGAATGGACTTTTCACGATGGTCCCCTTCATCTCGCAACTGATATCGAAAAATATCTTTGGCTTGTTGTCGGACTATATGAAACGCCATCAGATTTTGAAGCCGGATGCTTCGGTCAAGATTTTTCAAGGGATTGGTAAGTGTGATCGGGTATTTAAGGTAATTGACAAAAATTCCAGGTGCCGTCGGTTCCGCTTTGTCACTATTTGCTTTGGCTACGCTACCATCCTGTCGACACCCCTATATCGCGCTACCAATCTTGATGATATATGGTAGGAGGCTACAGGGTGTCCCAAAAAAACCCCCCTCCTAGCCGGCCGTAGACCTATCCGATTTTTACGATTTAGGTACTTGTCGAAAGCCTGAAAGGCGATCAGCACGTCTTGCCAATTTGTCGAAATCTCGAAATTTTTCTGTCATTTACTAATGTTATTGCAATACGGGCGTATTTTCTGATGTTTTTCTGACCTCCGCGTTTTTTTATAAAAATCACAATTTAAAGATTTTAATGCCTTTCCTGGCAGCCCAACGACGGCGGTTTGCAAGCCCTTCGCAGGAACAGAGCTTGGATAGCGCTTACACCGGTTAAATTGCGTTTTGGTTAAAAAAGCGTGTCCTTTTTGCATGAAAAATGCTGGAAAATGAGCAAAAAAATTCCGAGATTTCGAAAATGGGCAAGACGTGCTGGACTCGCCTTTACGAGAGCTTTCGATAGGTACCTAAATCGTAAAAATCGGATAGGTCTGCGGCCGGCTAGGAGGGGGGGTTTTGGGACACCCTGTATA